AAGGGGAGAGGGGAAGGGGCGGCTGCTTGCCCCTTAGCTGCTTTGCTCACGCCCTCGTAACGGCCTTCGCGCAGTGCCATTGCCAGCCCTTTCCTCTTCATCATCATCCCATTTTCAAGAGGCTGCGTCGTGTTCCAACGACCATAGCCACCATAGCCAATGTTCTCCGCATCTTCTTCCCTATACTGGACAGGGCGCGGTCACCCACACGTCGCGCAACACGCGGTCACCCACACGTCTCGCTACACGCGGTCACCCACACGTCGCGCAACAACGCTCATGACTGTCTTAATTCTGCACCACCGATCGCTCGACTTCATCGCCGCCAAAACCTCTTTCATAGGGCCTCGCTCCACTACTCACCACATGCACAAAAGCCAGAAAACTCATTCACAGGCCCATCTTTCCATGTTCTAGGGGAAGATTCATTCGCATTTAGCACATTTGGTGAGTGGAGCAAGGCCCAATAGTCATCATCTCACTCCCCATCGCGGGCCCCAACATAACGACTATTGGGCCTTCTCCACACCCACTTCTCCCCTGCCGCCATGCAGCGCTCTCATTCTCTCTCCCTTTTTACTTCTTTTTTTTGCCGCCCCTACCTTGCTCCTCTCCCCTTCCCCTCCTCTCTTTTTCACATCCTGTTCCTTGTACTTATATGTGTATGTATATAGTCCTCTTCTCCCATTCTGCCGACGGTTTACCGGGCAGTTCTGTTTGACCATACTTATATGTGTATGTATATAGTCCTCTTCTCCCATTCTGCCGACGGTTTACCGGGCAGTTCTGTTTGACCATNCCGGGCAGTTCTGTTTGACCATACTTATATGTGTATGTATATAGTCCTCTTCTCCCATTCTGCCGACGGTTTACCGGGCAGTTCTGTTTGACCATCTCTCTCTCTCTCTCTCTCTCTCTCTCTCTCTCTCTCTCTCTCTCTCTCTCTCTCTCTCTCTCTCTCTCTCTCTCTCTGCCCCGCGTTTGTTGTCCTCTTCTCCCTCTCTGCCTATGGTTTACCGGGCAGCTCTGTTTGACGATATACTGTCACACTGTGAATGGGAGCGCAGAGGCGGAAAAAGACAAAACAAGAAAAGCAAAAGTAAGGAAGGAAAGCCCCACCTGTGCATCACCCCACCTGTTCATCACCTCTTATGTACAAGGCCAGCCACGTGGATGACAGGCTGAGCGCTGGCTGCCGCCATCCCCGTGTGTCACAAGGACCTACTTGCACGCTGCCAAAAGGCAAAGAAGAGGTAAAGAAAAGGAGGAGGAAACCAGACCTCACAGAGGCAAGACAAAGAGAAAGGGATCCAATCAAAGAAAGGACAAGGGAAGAGGAAGGCCTATCAGTCAAACAAAGCAAATGACACATCCCACAGATAAACCAATTGCCACTGTCACAACAAAGTTCAACGTACTTTTTTTTCTTTTTTTTTTTTTCAACACACTTTTTTTCCTTTTCTTTTGTTTTCTTTTTTTCTTTTCTTCGGCAAGTTGTTTTGTTTTTTTTTTGGGTTTTGTTTTGTTTTCTCTTTGCGTTTTTTCATTTTTTTTCTTTCTTCTTTCTTCAACTCCGCATCTGTTGGTAGTGTCGAAAGCTTCATCTGTCCTACAATTAGTGTTCCTCCTGACCTGCTTCATTCTATTGACCAGTCAGGAAGAGGAGCCCCCACCCCACCCGCGCAGATAGGACAGGCACGCTGAGGATGACGTGGGTGTTCACAAGGATACCCAAGCAAGGAGAGAGCTGCGCCAGCACAGATCTCAGCAGGACGGCTAGCACGGACCATCCCATCCCATCAAAACAGTCCTGACAGAGGACGGACATGCTGTCGACATGTCAAAAAATACTGCAGGACGTTCATCACAGTGCGGCATCATGCAGTCCTGATAGCGTACTTGCGCACAAAAGGGACAACGAGTATCTGGGTGATAGGGATGTGCACAATGAGCAAATGTTGGACAGCTCTCTTTGTCAAGGGGGCGGTGCTTGCATGTGGGACTTGTCATCTAGGGGGGTGTTTATGTTTGTATCCCCCTGTTTTGTTATATTTAGCTGTTCCCTTCCTCTTTTCTTTGCCTCTTGGCTGTGTGCAAGTGGGTCGATATGACACACAAGGGTGGGGGCAGCCGCCGCTCAACCTACATCCACGTGGGCGGCCTTGTACGCAAGAGCTTTTGAACAGGGGGGAGTTGTACGCAAGAAGATAAAAAATGAATTGATTTTTTCTTTCTTGTTCTTTGGCCTTTGCGCTCTGATATCTTCGTGACGTTTCCCAAAAAAAAAATATACATATATATATTCGTGACGATATACATATGTATATATACATATATATATCGTCAAATAGAACTGCCCGGTAAACCGTAGGCAGAGAGGGAGAAGAGGACAACAAACGAGGGGCTGCGACAAACTGTTTCGTCGGAGTTTCACCGACTCATCATATATATAGAGTCAAACAGAGCTGCCCGATAAACCGTAGGCAGAGAGGGAGAAGAGGACATCACCCTGGTTTTGCAAAACACGCAATGTAACGGGTGGGAGGCGGGCCGGAGGAGAGAGGGGGCAAAGCATGGGTAGAGGAGGGGCAGAATGGGAAGCTTTCTGAGAGACAGGGAGGGAGGAAAGGGAGACATTCAGGACTGAAGGGGCTTTGCCAATTACGTGCTACAGGGCGTGGGATGGAGGGTAAGAAAAGCCTTGTACGAAACGAAGCAGCAGGGGTCTTGGAGGGTGTGAGGACCAGAAGGGAAGGAGGGGACCAGAAGGGAAGGCGGGGGCTTACCTCGTGCTACCGGCAGGGAAACGCAAGGCAAGGGGGGAGAAGTTAGAGTGCTAGCAAGGAGGTGCGTTTTTTATTATTTCATGGGGTCCCTGAGGACCCGATTAGGGATTCGGAATTAGGAATTCGGAGTCTTTTTGGCCGCACCCACCCCTACCGAGTGAGGGCATACTCACACTAGCACTTTCCAAAATGCACCAGACCCCAATTTCGGCCACACCTGCACGCATCTGGCCGCCATTCCGTCCAGAAATAAGTGAAAAAGTCCTAGTGTGAGTATGCCCTGAGGAAGTCACCATCCCAATCAAGAGACGACAACCAAATGATGCAGATCAACACAGTTGAGGCAGGGGGGCACCTTGGGAAAGGGTGCACCTCGGCAAAAACCTGTCAAAGACAGATGAATTACCAGGTGCGTTTTTTGAAGCAGGGGACAGCAAGGCACGGAGAGGAACGGTAGACCGCGATGCCGCCCATTTCTTTGGGGGGAAAGTATCCATTATACCCCAGAAAGTAAACGATATATTTTTTATTTAGGGATATCTTGCGAAATACCCCTATAAGTTGAGATATATGCCACAATGCCCCTAAAAGATCTAGGTAGAGCGGAATACCCCTCTGACACAAAACATGCTTTGCGAAATGCCCCTGCCGTCAGTTGGACCTTTAATCTTTCCAAAATACCCCTACCGGGTACTGTCCATGTTTGCAAAACGCCCCAGTACTTGCCAACTTTTCCCAGGCCCTTTGTATTTTCGTTTTACCCCTACTGGCCCAGGTCATCTTTGCATTTTGCCCGCTCGCTGTGTGTTTGTGTGTCTGTGTGTGTGAGAGAGAGAGAGAGAAGGGAAGCGTGATAACAGGCGGAATAGCGGGATGGCAAAAGAGAGAGAGAGAGAGAGAGAGAGAGAGAGAGAGAG